GTCATCAGCTGTGCAAAGAAACGATGCCTGAGTCTTCCACTCAATCCCGAGATCACATCCTTGGTGCCCCAGCTCCGCCAGCAGCACTAAGCAGCCAGGAAAGGGTCACCCATACACACACAGCTGCTGTGCCCACGGTTGCACCACTTCACATCCCCAGACGCAGTGGTGCTTTCTCTGCACCGTGCCCAACCAAAGGCAGCGAGGCTAAAGCATCCCACGTGCTATGGGGTCAGCTGGAGGACGGTGGAAGAACGGGGGAACTCGACAGAATTTTTGTGGATAGCAAAACCCCGAGCTGCCAAAATGCACCTTCACCTTCCATGCAGGATCTCCTTCCACATAGGAGGAAATTGCTGGTGTCACAGCTTGGGCAATGACGAGTCTCTCAACCCACCACAAAACCTGTGGTACAGCATGCTCTCCAGCACAGGAACACACAGCAGCACTGCAGCAGTGAGGGCTGCAGCCCCACTGAGAACCACAGCACGGCCGCCTGACCCCGATGCACCGCAGCCAGGCTCCCCGTGCCACCTTGGTGCCCCACAAGCTGCCCTCAGCCTACTTAAGGAATCCCAGATAAATTATGAAGTGCCATAAAAAGTAAAATAAATTTGAGAAAAGCTGTTAAGTTATAAATACAACCAACACATGCAACATCACTCAGATGGCAGAAACTAGCTACAAAATAAAGTCATTTTAAGCTGCTATTCCACAGGTTACCAAGTCTCTTCATTCACAAATCACACTTCCCTTCATGGCAGCCCATCCCATTGCACACGTTTTCATGCCCATGAAATGCACACACATCCCTGTGTGTGGGACAAGGGACTCCATCTCTGCACCAGGAACTCTAAAGAACAAAGTTACCCCGTAGTCCCCAGTGCCAACTCACAAGCAGAGGCTCTGCAACAAGTTGCTGAGCATGAGCTGCGTCCCCTTCTTAAAGCACAGAGCATCTGCAGGACGAGAGGTTCTCAGAGTGTATTTCATGTTGCTCCCTCTGAATTTAAGGCCCTCTCTGCGTATCAAGCTCTGCAGAACAATTTCTTGCCTTTATTTACTCTCAAGGTCCTGTACGTTATGAATATTCATTGGAATAATTAAAAGGGCTGTTCACAGCCCATTGTGTTTACTGTTAGCCCCATAAAAAACAAACAGGTTAATGACGAGCTTTAATACGGGAATTTAATATCTTTCCACCTATATATCGGCTAAAAGTTTAGCCTCCCCTTTAAGCTTCATCAATTTACGGAGAATAAGGAGCCTCCATAAAAGCAGGCTGCGGCTGTAAGTCACACATACACACCTCTGCGGGTTCGTCGTTACAGTTCTGCTTTACTATTTATTTTATTTTCTTTGCTGAATTTCTCTTTTCAGTTTTGGTCGCAGCAGTAGAGGGAGAAAGGCAGGGTGTGATTTGGGAGCACTGCGCTGCTTCACTGCTGGGCAGCGCTCTGATGGGCTGCACAGAGCTGAAAAGTGAAGTGCAAAGGGAGAGGGCAGCAAACGCCACTGCTGGCTCACCTGCAGCACTTGGCACTGCTGTGGATGGAGCCTTCCACCGGGCCTCAAGCATTACAGAAACGTTGCTCTTAGAATCACCTGAAGTTTTATTGAATGCAGTGAAAACTCATCTCAGATGAGAATTAGCCCTGGGATGGATGACCACTGGGTGAAGTAGGGCTCAGCCATGCGAGCTAATGAACTCACAGATATCTGGCAGGGAAATGCAAGGTCTGGGAGTGCAGTGCCTTTCTACCCGGGGTGGGGAACAGGACAAACCATGGCGAAAACGTCCCACTGAACAGCAGCATCACCACATCTCACCTCCTCTTGCAGCACAGCTTAACCTTTTTCCACAGCCCAAGCAAAGCTGCACCATTTCCTGAACTGCTCAGAGGAGACAGAAGCTAGAAGCAGACCAGCAGACAGCCCGACACCAGGGAAACTGCCAGAGGAAACCACAGGTGTCCCCTCCTGCAGGGCTGTACAGAGGCATCCTCTCAAATGAACTGTTATCATCATTTACTGATGAGCACTCAAAAACAAAATCACGAAAGGGACAGACACCATTCCTTCAATACAATAGCAATCATCCAATCCATTCAGAAGGCATGGAGTAGGAAATCAAACAGATGAAGGAGTTGATGTGCATTTCTGATGGCTACGAGCTGCTGCTCTCCTTACCTGCAGCACACGCAGGGAGCTGGGGGCTCCAAGGAGGAGCTCTGCTACATTTATAACCAGGAGCACCTGAGCACCTCCCTCTGAAGCTATTCCTGACAAAGTAAAGGGCAAATTCACTTAGAAACCATCAGTTTCCTTGTGATTTTATTTAACTCTGCAACATGCCCTGATGCACAGGAAAGAAGAAGAAAACAAAGCTGGGCACCAAACCTGCACAAGCTGCAGGAGCAGCACAGTGCCAGCCTCTGAGCATCCTTCAGAGCATCCCTTAGAGCATCTCTCCACTGTAGAATCTGGAAATAACGTTGGCGGTTTCTCTCCAACCTGTGTGTGCTCCACAGCAATGTCAGATTTGCATTTATATTCTTTTTAGGATGAGTTTTCCCATATGTCAGCCTCAACCATCGCAAAGCATTGCACATCACACTGGGATTTGTTCAGAGTGCACCCTGTAGAAGTCACACGTGTGAAAAGCAGAGTAACCTGGAAAGGGCTATTACTGCTAATCCAGCCTTTTGTATGATGAATAGCAACATACCTAGACACAACTGTTGCTGCACAAATAAACTACTTCTAAAAGAAGTTGAAATAAAATAAAATGACTTTCTCACTTTCCAACTTTGTCTGTAATCATGGGAAACAATCTACTTCAGTAACTGAAATTACTTTCTTCATAAGCACCAACCAGATCACGAGGAGGGGGAGGAAAATGAGTCCCTACACTCACATGCAAAGCATCTGTAGTCATTCTTCTCACACTGCACTGAGGAAACAGCAACCAACACCCTTTTTTGGCCCAACAGTGCAAATGAAAAGCAATGAGAATTGGACCGGGTGCACTTCCAGAGCAACACAGGTGCAGCTTTAGGGATGCACAGCAGCAGCATCGTGCAATCCCAGTCCCCAAAATAGGGGGAAGCACCATAATTTCCCAGCACACCGCCCATCTAATCTTGCTGCTGACAACCACAACCAGTTGGGTTTTTCCCCATTGTGGGGTTTTTCCCCATTGTGGGGCTTTTCGTGGCTCAGCCCGTGGGTGCTGTGCCCAGGCACAGAGCTCCACCGCGTGCAGCAGGGAGTGGGGAGGAGGAAAAAGAGTGGGGGAAAAAGAAAAAATTAGAACATATTAAAGGTGTTAATAAGCGACTTATTTAAACGGAGTATCACATATTGAACATTAATCACCTTGCAGTAAAAGTGTAATTAAGGAGTCACTCTGCCTTCTGGGGAAGGCTCGCTTGGAAGCCGAGTGAAAATGGTCTCTTTATTAACACAAATTATTTTATTTGGCCAAAGGTAATAATTCTAAGTGAGGTCAACGGGACTTGTGCACACGCGAGCAGCACCAGGGCCAGCCACTGTTTCCATGGTGACCGAGCCAAGTTCACCCCCAGCACAGCGATGGCCGGGCTGAGCGCATCGCCCATCGGGCACCCAGACCTCCCTGCAGCCACAACGCTGCTCCTGGGGATGCACTGTGTGAGCACCGTGGCACACTGCGTGCTTTCCTGGCACACTGACACCACAAGGATGCACGGTTCCCACTCTGAGCAGCACAGGGATACAGGCAGCCCGTGCCATAAAACTCAGCTCCAACGGCAGCACCCAGGAGCCACTCTTGGCTCCCAAGCACCCTCCTGCGCTGGGACAGGCCGTGCGTTGAGCTTTCCATGCAGATGACTGTCTGAAAGCAGCTATGATTTATCAGTCTCTCACGTCATGTCACTTCTTTACATACAGCATTATACATAGAGTGCCGCATTAACATTTTACTATTATTCTTACCTTGCAAAGCAAAAAGATAAGTGAGTTAATCTTGTCAGTGTCAGCAGGGCTGGCACGTGCCACGTGGCTCAGCGGGCACAGCCAGGGACACCTCTGTCCCCAGAGCCACCTGGACCCAGGGAAAAGCCTCATGGGACACTTCTCCGGAGGTGCTTGCCATCCTCACAAACCCTGCAGCACTGCCCACAGGATGCCAAAACAACATGGAAGCCGCACTGATGGACGCAACCAAGGTAAAGTCAGCACCAATCTCAAAACAAGATGGGGTGGGGACCCCAACCACACCACCCCATCGCTCAGAACCCATTCGTGCCCCGACACAACGTGTCCCACATGAGTCCGTGTGCTCCCCAGCCATAAACCAGCTCCTGCCACCAAAGTGCTGAGCGAGGTACCTGGTCCTGTGCAACTTATTATCACCTAGTCAAGATTAATCAAGCAGGGAAAGCTAAAGCAGGTCCCTAATTAGTTGCTGATGATAACTATATTTGTCATCCTCTCCCAATTAGTCTACTGTACATTTTGGAGTTTAATTGCACCTTGTTCTTCATTTAAATGTCATCATGTGCATATATTCTCCTCATTCTTTCGTAGATTTGAGAAAAATTTGACATTAAATATAGATTATCTTTAGATTTCCATAATTAACACAACCAAACTGTCTTCAGCTCATGTATTCCACCTCACACGATACATCTGGATGCTCCCTTAGAACTCAGTGTTCCTGGGGCTCCTGCTGGAGGTGGATATCACCACTGCACCAATGACACCGGGACCACAGATGGGTGGTGGTGACACGGCCTGAGGGTCTCCTCCCTGACCGCACCAGGGTGACCCAGAGCCGAGGGGAGACACAAAGCCAAGCAGTAACAAAAAGCAGAGGGGTGACACATGCCACTACCTACCCACATGCTGTCCTGCCCCGACCCCCCACCCACAGCCCATCCAGCAGCACACAGAGAAGAACCCAGAGCAGTGAGAAGGAAGGGAAAAAGCCATCAGGAAAAGCTGCACGGTCCTACCTGTCCCTTAAGATGAGGTGCATGACACCAGTCGTCCCTACTGCTTGGCCACAGCAAAATCCCTGTGTCCATCCACGTATTCCCTACTGCGCCAGGTCTTGCTGTGCTCACTGCAGGCTGCAGCCTCCTGGTGCCACGGGAGGAGGCTGCTGCTGACTGAGCAGCTGGGATAGGAGAGGGGAAGGGAAAAATGGGGGAAAAAAAATAAAAAAAGGAATCAAGGAGTAGTCAAAAAGTGTATTAGAAGCAAATTTGGAGAGAAATCAATGGCTTGTAATTAGATTTGATTTTTCTTCACGTTTTGTTTGGCTGGGGGTTATGTATAGACTCCATGTGAGCAGAGAGGAGAGATTAAAGCGCAGAGAACAGGTGCTGGATCACGAGTTGGTGGCCACCAAAGCATGACAGCTCCATCACCGCTGTCAGGTGGCACAGCAAATAAACATATAAATAAATAACAGGGACAGAGATGCAGCAGACGGGCATTCACTCACATCACCATGCAGCAACACCCAGCCCTGCTCACAGGGCTGGCATTTGGATTTCCCAGATCCCCACGGCAGGGGATGCTCCTGTACCCCTCAATGCTTTCATCCTGCTGTGGATGCTGGGGCAAACCTGGTATGGGCACGTGCTCCGGGCAAAAGAGAGGAACCTACTTGTGCCAAGTCATCCTGATCATATCAATAGCTGCCCCTAGGAACTCAGTGCTGTGTGTTTGAGGTCTTCTTTCTCCTCTTCTAAATGGGAGAGCTTTGCATACGTGCACATATACACACGTACACAGGCACACGTGCACTACATATATGTATAAACACATACAGGGATGACCTACAGGGTGTCCCTTGCTGGTGATGGCTCTGCCATCAGAACTCACTCTTATGGTCCATTTCTTTTTTCACAACATTTTCCTTTAACCTTGAAATTTAACCTAAAAGTCAGGCTGCTGTCCACATGACTTCCCAAAATAAATGGCATCCCTAATTAGCAGCACCCTCCGCCGCTCCGCGCTCCAGGCCACGCTGCATCAGTGGACACCTCCGCCTGATGAGCAGTTATCGAACACGCGAGCAGCAATCAACACTAATTAAACACTCGGCTGTTGAGAGGAGACAATGTTTTCCAAAAAAAAAAAGAAAAAAAAATCAAGAGGAGGGGAGCACATCTTCTGTTTTCTATAATTAGTGAGCAATATTCCCCAGGCGGTTGCAGCAATCGAACGCGGGTTCGCTCGCAGCTGCTGGGTGCACACACACAAAGGATGCTGGGGGCACACGGTCAGGGCAGGGGGAGCACCCATGGGTGGAAGCTCAGCAATGCTTCCCAGAATGGGGTCCTGCCCTTCTCATCCCCCTGGGCTGCATGAGACCAGAGCAGAAATGTCCCCAGAGGGGGAAAAGGAGGAGGTCAGCTCTCCCTGAACGCTGAAGCAAGGAAGGGCTCCAGCTATAGAGACAGCACTTTCTTGGTTTGTACGTGAGCGAAGGAAAGGCACAAAAAACAATCTTCAGCATGTTCTGTGCTCTGATATTTTACAGAATCACTGATGTTGGACAAGACCATTAAGATCACCTTAGTTAACCCATCACCATCATACCCTTATAGAACCATGGCATAATTTAGGTTGGAAAAGACCTCTAGGGCCCCCAGGCCCAAGTCCATCCCACCCCACCTTGCCCACCAACCACATCCCCTCAGTGCCACATCTCCACGGCTCTGGAACACCTCCAGGGACCGTGACTCCACCACTTCCCTGTTCCAATGTCTCACCACTCTTTCAGAGAAGGAATTTTTCCTAAATGTGTGGGAGCAAGCTGGAAGTGGTGTCAGAAAAACCTTTGATTATCACACAGATGCTAAATACCGGCAGGAAAAGCGTGTGCCAGGGCAGGGGAGGAGCAGTACCTTCCGACTCCAGGCTCATGGTGACTGTGGCACGGCTTTGCTTAAGTGGCTGCACTCTGCCCTTGCACTCTGCTGTGATCTATCCCAGATACCTCCCACGTTTCTGGTGGTAAACACTCGTTTCTTAGAGCAGCAGCAGATGGTCAAGAGCATTTCCTGAAATTGAATATTATAATGAATTTAGGATCGAAAAAAAATTTACATAATAATCTGTTTTAGATTCTGATAGTGAAGAAACCTACACAGGAACTGCTTCTTTTCAGCTATTTGAATTAAAGTGTAAATCTTCAAGTACTTTAATTATAAACAAACTCCTCGCACTTGCACATCCATGGAAGAAATTGAAAAATTAACCACCCGGTGAAGCTCAAGGCCACACATGGGCTCCTAATGGAATGGGACAGGTCTGTGCCCTGAGAACCAGCCGTACCCAAGTCCTGCTGATGGGCATCCCTGCAAGCAGGGCAGAACTCGGCTGTAAAGTGCAGATCCCTTAAGAAACCATCAAATTTCCTTAATAATAACATAAGGCCCTTTTAGGCCACAGGACCAGGGAGCGCTTTGCATCGCAGCCCAGCACTGCTGAGGGCTTTCCCTCCTGGAAAAGCAAATATTTAGACTAGATAAAAAATCCCTGAGAGCGTTTTCCCCAGGTAATACTAGTAACTAAAATAATCACATTCACTTTGCTGGTTTAATTTTATATTTCCATTTCTACCTTATCTTTTTCCTGCAAGCATCATTAAACCACACCATAACAAAAATACATGAAGTGTTATTCTTTCAAGAGAAGCCATAAACCACCTCAAAGCTTTTCAAGTTTATTCTTATCTCGTACATCTTCCTCTGGTTCTTTTTTTTTTTTTTCCCCCTCCTTCATGCATTTCAGCAAGGTAGTTTTCCCTAACGTTAAAAATAGTTGCATTGAAAATGAGATGCTGCCTCTGAAAAACGCCTCTGGAGGATTAAATAAGTAAAATATAGCCAGAAAATAAACTGGAACCTCATTAAAATAATTTTGCAAGAAGAAATCCTACCTCACAATAGGTTTTCAATATCACTTAGAAAATTCTTAAGAGTCATACATATATATACGTTCTTAATTCAGGACCTTCCATTAAAAAAGGCATTACAGAGGGAACTGAAAGGCCATTTAGCACCCTTGTTTATAGAAAAATGCGCATTAGGTACAGATGTAATCTCCAGCAAAAGCCTTGAGATATGGCTTGAAGGAGCCGTGCCGCGCTGCAAGGTGCTAATGAGGGCACAGGCAGAAGCAGGGCCCCTTTCTTTTGCTGCAGAACACAAAGCTGTGTCCCTTCAGCCATGCCCACAACCAGGCCGGACCACTCTGGACCCTCTGTGCCACCAATGCACAGCAGCACTGAGGAGCACTAAAAGCAGCTGCTGGAACCCAACACGCCGGCCTTGCAGTGGCACCTGCACAGCATGGAGTGTGGCATTGCCAGGATCTGCAGCAGCCACATTTTGGATCTCCAGAGAAAAGAGCTGAGCTAAGACTTGTGGAGCGCAGGAGAAACACTGCTGATGTTGCAGCTTCTAAAACAGGGCAGGAAAAAAAAAAGAGAAAAAAAAAAAATTGGCAGGTTTAACTTTGCATTGAGCTACAGCACGTCGTTACATCTCTGAAGTATATAAAACTATTGATCATAAGCAAGTCATTACCTCTGCGTGCAGCCAAAGCTGTGCAGTAGGCAAACAAGGGGCTGTCCCTGAGCCCACCCTGCATTGCGCACAGCCAGGGCAGAACCTGCCTGTGCACAGGCATGGGAAGGCTCTGAACTGGAACTGAATCCAAAATGACAAAAAAAAAAAATTCACAAAGAAACAAACATGCCTGAACACCCTCCACAGCAAGATGCTGAAATGCTTCACTTCAATCAGGGACATTTCTTGAGAATGGGATTCCCTTCAGGCTACCTCCAAAACCTCCATCATTTTGAGCTGGACCTCAAGATAACGTTAATAACAATGAGGCCGAAGCCCAATCAAGGTTAAAGCCTTTCCCTCAAAGCAGAACACCCCCCCCCCCCACCTCCCAGCCAAATCCCCCAGCTCCTTCCCACCCCCAGGTGCCAGGGGGCACAGGTGCACAGCCCCAGACACATGCAGTTACATGCAGCAGCCTTGCAGAATGCAGCCATAGTCAACCATGCTTGATGTTACACAACATTTGGGTCACAAATTTTATAGAGAATAAATATCACACTTCAATTTCATGGTGACTTAGGAGGGTTGACTGGCAAATACCATGGCTTTTACATGGTTCTACCAATTACCAAGCAATTACACGTAACCTAGATCTGGAGGACATACAGTGGGATATAATACATTCCTCTCTGTGTTAAAAAGAAAGAGGCAGTTAATAGAAAACACTTTTTTTTTTTTTTTTTTTTTAAATAAAACCCTCCTATTAGAATCCACAATATTCCTGGGTGATGTTATTAAAACTCCACGCCAACATCAAACCCAAAGGAAAGACTGCCATCCATTACCACATCAGTCGTGGGACGATCAATAAAGATTTACTTTAAACTGTGCCATATGTCGCTTCCAAGAAAGTTTTATTATTCAGATTCACCAGTTTGTACCTCAGCCCCCATGCAATTAAATCCCACTTAGTGGCACCGACCTTCTGAGTTGAACTTGTCATTCCTGCAGCTGGTTTGGAGTTTAACACCACTCTTAAAGAACGAAAACAAAACGTCTGCATTGATGGGGAGCACGGGGAAACCCCATCAAAACAGGGAGAGGGGAAAAAAAAAACACACAACAAAAAGGAACGCAGGCACATTTTAACATGTTGTAGCATATTTGTAAACATCGTTAATCATGGATTAGCAGATGGTAATGCTAATTGCACCTGTGGAAGTAACAAGACCTCAAGGTTGATTACATTTACAAACTCCGCTCCTCGCTGGAGGATTCCCTGCTGTGCCTGGAGGACCCACGTGCTGCAGGATGACCCTCTGTGCCTCCCTGGAACCACTCAGAGCAACAGGACCGTGTGCCTATTGGGATCCTTGGGCTCTTTGACCTGATTTGGGGGGGGATGAAGAGATTTGTGCTCCCCTGGTAAAAACGCAGAGATGGGGAGCGTGGCTCCTGAGATGCAAGGACAAATATTTTGCCATCGTGCCTAGAGACATTTTGATTATTGAGAAATCATTTTGGAAGGGCAATTACTAAATTTTAAAATCAGTTTGGTAAATATGCTTCCAAAAGGAATCCATGACAAGCAGCAGGGAGGGAAGAATTGACTTTTAAATTACACAAACACACGCTTTATTCATATCTAAATATCAAAGAGACTCTATGTACAAACAGAAGTAATCAGGAAGCATGTTTTGATCTTGCTGATGTACACAAAAAATGACAATTAATGTCCTCCTTTATGATATAAAGCCGTGAGTTTTTTACAGTTACATTACAGGGACGATTATAGTTGAGCTTAAGGCTAAAAATAATGAAAGACTATAAAAACTACATTTTAACATTTAAAAATATCCAGGAAATTAACTGCAGAAGCAGGCAATGATCCAATTAATGGATTGCATTTATTAAATCGGGGGCAAACCGCACAGCACTCAAAGCTCCAGCTCCAAAGGTGCAGCTCTGCTTGGCGCTGTGACCATTCCCAGTGCTTTCCCTGGGTGTGCCAACAGAGCTGGCAGGCAAACTCTCATTAGCACTAACCATAAAGCACCACTGCCTCTTCAACTCAAACCCTGCAAGCCCTGTCTGACACTGCAGCACCAAATTTAGGCCTGAAGAGGTATATAGCAGCAGTGTCCCCACAGGCATCAAAGCTTTCTGGGAGCTTTGCAGAAGAGGTTCCTGCTCCATCGCTACTCACCTGGGATCTGTTGGGGATGAGCAGCCGTGGCTGAGCGTGGGCAGAGGGCACGAGGCTTTCCCAAACACAAGCAACCTTAATGAAGGGTCTCCTCATGTTTAAGCACTGCACAGAGAAAGACATTATTTGTTTTTTAATGGAGAAACTGCAGTTTATATGGAATTAGAAATCTCTCTCCATATAAATATTTATTATTATGGTATATATAGTTATGGTATATAACACACACACTTAACTATAGATCGAGAAGAAAGCAATGGCTTTATCCTCATCCCTGCTGCTGGAGAGGATGAACCCTGCTAGCCCCAAAGCTGCATCTGGCTTGCGAGAAATAAGCAAATCTAGAGCACGGGCTCCCTCTGCTGGGGCAGACACGGCTGCACAGTGAACATCGTGGCGACAGCGTGCCAGCAGCCTCCCCAGCCCTTTCCCCTTTTATTTCAGCAATTGAGAGCCAGGCACATTCAGCCCCAGAAACGTAAGTGCTCCACACCTGCCCAAGAACCACTATCCCTGTCGTCCACCAGACCTCAGCTGCTACTCAGTGAACATCTTCAGACTCAGGCACCACAGCTCTGCTCACATTGCAGCAGGCATTTCAGGGAGGATTCGGTTTTGTCTTTTTGCAGAGGAGACACCTCAGGATACACTCTGTCACAACAGGCACCTTCAGCTGTGGCCACAGACCCAGAATGGAGTACTCAACACCACCGAAAAGTCAAATCTCTCAGTGCAGAGCACTGCAGGATCCCACCTAGATGCCAGTAGGGCATGGCTTACCCTTACCCATCCACATGGGGCTCCTCCAGACACAGCCCCAGCCCCTCTGTCCCACCTCACTGAGGGCTCAGAGCAGCGCAGGCAGTTAAGGCTGTAGCCAAGCAGTCAGCACCATGAAACCCACCTCTGGGTCACTGCCTCCATGGGCCGCGCTCCATGCTCACTTCAGCCAGGAAAGTTCTCACTGCCAATGCAGTTGCAGAGCAGTGTGTCCTGTCCCACCCCACATCCTGTCCCTCTCCTCATCCCACCACAGCCATTGCCCTCAGCAGGGCCACCAGCCTCTTGCAGGGACACATCTGAAAAACCTCCACATCCACAGACTGGTTTACAGACTTCATTTAGCTCAAAGGAAAAGTCCTAATTAGTCACTCTGAGTGATTTACTCGTTCACTTGGAAGGGGGAGAGGAGGGAGACTAAGCTGAATTGTTTGAAATTATCCCTAAAGGGCACTGTAAATTAAGTGTTAATGAGGAATCCTATGCAAAGGGCCACAGTAGCTAAATAAAATAATTAAGGTGCTAAGCGATAACATTCATTTGGTTCTCAATAATTCAGCCAAGCTGGTTCTCAACCAGGATATTTGCAAATGAAGTCACTGTCATCACTGCCCCTGAATCCACACACCATCAGTGGGGACAGCAGTGCTGGGCAGCTCAGAGTCCAGCTGGATTAGATCCATCACAAGAAGGAAACTTCCCTGAATGAAGAGAACAAGCTCCCGGCTCCCCTTCCCACCTGAAGGAAGTGCCTCGTTCCACTAATCACACTCTGGATTTATATATGACACAAAAAGGATTGAGTCAAGTCTACAACAAATCTTTACAGAGGCTTTATTTTAATGGGCCGCATTTTTCCCCACTACAGCTGTTTCTAACAGGTCACGTTCATCCTCTGGCATGGCCGCAGACTTGTGTTACAAATACAACACGGTGTGTTTTCAGACATTCAAGCAGCAAGGTGTAACAGAGAGACTGCCTCATCATGAATAAATGGCTACTGAGCAGTCCCAGATCAGACCAGCTTCTATCCAGCACTCCAGGCACAGGGCATGGCTGTTCTCTGAGTCAGCTTCCACCATGAACCACCATTCATCTACAGCCCCATACCCACAGCCTGAGCAATGCAAGAAGTTCCCCAAGCAACAAACACAAGGCTTGCAGCCACCACTGCCTATTTTACTGCTAAAACTGAAGGTTTGTCTACTTTCAAACCTCCTTCCTTACAATCTCTCCTCTGAGATGCTGGTGGAACGTGTTACCATGCACGCAGGCATGACTTCAGTGCTGGCCCAGGGCTCTGCTGGTGTGGTGCATGAGACAGAACACACCCTGGGTCAGTGGGGCTCACCCTGAAACTTGCTGAGATGGTGCCGAGCCTGGAAGGAGTACTACCATATCCATACTGAACACAGCCATGGAACACTGAGCAGTTTCTTGCCATCAAAGATCTTGGCTGGGCAACTTCCACCATGTGCCAGGATAAAAATCAATCACCGTGCCTCAGCTTTTGGCTGCAGATGGAGTGCAGGAGAATGCCTGTAGGAGAGTAAACAAAAAGACAACAATCTTTTATTTTAACTCTGTAAGAAAATCTGAGGGTCTGGATGCTTGACTGATTTTTAAATGCAGAAATTCAGTCCAATGCCATTGCACAGGATCTGTTTTTACCAGTGGCTACGGAGACGTTCAGTGACTCGATGCCTGGGTGCAGTGCCCTGCCAGAGGGGATGACCAGCATCTGGTGGCACAGGAGCTGCGTCTCCAGGGAAAGGCCATCACCTTCACTACCTGCAGAACAAAGACTGCTCAGGTCAGCCTGCAGCCACGCTCCTCTTTTCCATTCATCAGTATACGTCGTTGTGAAGTAACTTCCCAACTCCCATTAACAACAACCACAGACAGATGGAAACCTGTCCTATCTTCCCTTCCCGACCCCTTCCACTCACCCTGGATCTGTTCCCAGAACCAGCAGGGTTTTTGAGGAATACCTGTGCATCACACCTGTACTCCAGCATTAAGCACAGAGCCTTGCAAGCACAAGTATGAGGATCCCATATGCAAGCATCCACTATGCAGCTGCCCACAGACACGGGCTGCTGCCAGGGGATGAAGCAGACAAGGCCACTGGCCTCCTCTGCCACAGCAAATCTGTGTCCCTATCGATAGTGACAGGTTCAGCCCTTTCAGCAGAGAGTACCACCAGCTGAGTGCAACTTGTGAATGCAGACAGTTTAACCAGAGGCTTCAATTGATTAGTTGTTAAACCATCCAACAGCCCTGATATGTTTGGGCTGATACACTGGTGAAACAGAGTTGAAATCTATCCCAGGTCATTAGTAGTTGTTTGACTCACACTGTCACAAAGGGAAATGGAAAGGGAGAGGCTTTAAACAACCCTATGTGCAGACAAGTGAAAATTCAGAAGACCGCAGACCTCCCAGCTTGTTCAGCTCCCCAAAGACTTCTTCCATATTCATTATTTAGAGCCACACAGACAGCTACATGGCTGCAGGAATACCTGGCTCATTTCAAGATGTGCTTGCCCCCTAACAAACTAGGCTCAGCATGATGGAAGCCAAACGTTCCCCTTCAGCTGCTGTGCTCTGGTCCAGACTCACCCCACAGCAGCACCACGGGGGCACACACTGCCTGACAGGGGCTGCTGTGCCTCTGCTTCATAGGATTCCTCAACTTGGACTGCACTTATCACCAGAGGTGCCACAGCTCCTGGAGCATTCCTTTCCTCTCTCTGATAAAGGTCTTACGATTCCTAATAAAGGCAGCAATTTGGCTTCCAGCTTTTACAAAGCTGTTTATGGCCCAGGCTGCTTAAAATAATTAGGACCCATAAATTCAGGGCAAAAAGACTTGCATAGAGTGCGACACGTGGGAGGGAGTATTGACTAGATCAGATAAAATCCTGGTCTGTACTGGTGAATAAAAAGCACATCCTTGGCTTCAGTATCAGATTTGTCTCCCGTTGACAGCGCACCTGACGTTGTCCCTCTGAATTATTTGGTAATGCATCTACGTGCTCCCAACCCATTCCTGTTCACACAAGGCTTCCAGTCTTAAGGCCAGTCAGCACATCTGTCACCTCTGGCAATGAGTCCAGAGCAAACAACACCAACTTGGACTGTCCAAATCATTCTCTGCTATGCCAGCAAGGACACCAGAGGAGTGGATTCGAGTCTGCAAACACAACTTGTAAGACAATCTGTGCGATGCCAGGAAGCTCACTACCATGCTAATATATTTTTGCTGCAGTTTGTGGCTAGAAGTGTGCTACATATTCAGATCTAGGATGTTTTTTCAAACAACCCCAGCATCAGACAACTGTAATGTTCAATTTTCTTTTCAGCAAAGAGTTAGTTGCAGCAGAGGGCTGAGATCATTACTGCTGCAAGGTCTGGGAGCTCTCCTTACGTATCTACCAATCAGCCTCCAATCTCCCTTGACAAAAGGATACTTGGACCTTTTCCTGGAGAAATCTCTCATAATTCAAGGTAATGACACCATTGCCACTTTCACCTCCTTCCTTTCTCTTGGTGTTGTCAACGTTACTGGGATGCATTTCTTTGTGGTCTATCAGCACTGCTGCCAGTCTCCCTATTCCCTTTATAATATAGGTTCACACATCTTGTAGAGATGCCAGATTTGCTGCACTGTCTTGTCAGTATTTCTAGGAGTTCAATAAACATTTTAATTAAAAGAATGTCCTCTGAGCCAAGAAAACCACAGCACAGGGCAGGATTACAGCCCCTTGATGGCTCATCACCAGCCTGACACCACTTTCAAGTGTAAAAGCTCAAGCAAGCTCTTATGCCAGGTGACAGACACAAAGTGGGGGCCAAGAAGATGCCACACATGGGTGCTTAGAGCAGCATTCTTCCTCTAGCTGCCACAAGGCCATTACTCCCCTTCTTTTCACCTTCTGTCAGCTCCAAACTCTGCCTGTAAAGGACAGCACCCTTTCCAAATCTCCTCCACACTAAGGAGGAGAAGCAGAAGGCCCTGGAGTAATCACAGTTTAGTTGCTCAGGACTGGGAAAGTGGCACTTCTTGCTCACACAGCACACTGTGAGAAAGCTCCTGGCCTTCCCCTTTCTTCTGAGACCATGTTCCATTTCCAGGCAGATCATTCTATACTCATTCTTTTGCTCAGCTTCTCTTTTCCAGACCAAAGTGTAATGGAACATAACAGATCTGCAACTAGCTTAGGGGATGGAATGCCATCCCCCTTATTCCCTCACATATGCACTTGCCCCGAGACCAAGGCTCTGTAAATTGAAATACCTATCACTAAAATAATGGGTTTGTTCCACCGAAACTCCAAGCAGCTGATGACAGGAACATTTTCCACAGTTTCAGACTGGCTCACTGTTCCCACAACTTCCCAGCCTTCTGCAGCTTTAGCCTGAGAACAGGAGAAGAAACAAACGTTATAACAATACTAACTTTTCAATCTTAAAAAGAAAATAAGACATGTACATAACCATATTTTTTTCCTAGATTCTCAGTTAAGCTGACTGGTTTTTTGACATCCCTTGAATTTTCACCACCGAAGCCCTACCAGAACCAGGACACAAACCTTGAATGAGAAAAAGAAAAACAAAAAGTAATTTTCCTTCTGGTGTTTCTTCCAGTTCAGCAAGCAAACAAAAAGCAACTGAAATTACTTTTTTTTTGCCAATGCAACAGTTCTAGGGAGGTTTGGGTGTTTTTTTTGTTTTGTTTTGTTTCTCTGAAAAGCATTCAGGAGTTGCTGTATTAAACAAATCAGCTTAAAGTTAATGAACAGAGTAATGCAGTGGAAGTTTTGAAGCACAAACTCAGCCACCAGAAGCCCCCAGAAACATTTTCAAATACAGATGCACATCCAAAAATCAGTTCATAAAAAAGCAGGGCACTCAACACTCAGCACCTCATACAGCCAGAGAAACAGCCCTCCTTCCCCTGCCCTAACATAAAGCACTTTAATTATTTGTCTTAGAAACCTATTTTAACAATAAAAGAGCTGCTGCCTCTTGCCAGCTTCATTTCCTGTGGAACTGACACTTTTTACTTTAAGTTGCATCAAATTCACACCAGACAATGCCAATGGTTAGGCCAGAGAATCTGGGTCCAATAAAATGAATGGCTACAATGGCTCAAAACGTTAATAATTCAAACTTTACAATAACAAAGTGATTCTTCCAGCTGTTTTGATGTCAACGTACTTTACGTCTTTCAATTCTTCATCATTCAGAGCTCCAGCTGCCACAGACCTGCTGTACAGCTGAACACCGGCCTTCTGGCAGTGTGGGAAGAGTCCACGCTTAGTCCAGCTCATGGTCACAGCACAATCTGATGAGCTCCCCCTCAAAGAGACAGAAGCAGAGCTACAGACTGGGTGCAGCTCACACACAGCCCTGGTTTCTCACCACTCCCTTGCACTAAAAGCTGCCCAATGCTGCCATCATGTGCCAGGCTCGAGGACATTACCTCCGTGCACATCAAGGAAGACCCACAGCAGGGAACTGCACCACCTCTGGTCCCCATGGATGGGTGGGGGGACAGATCCCATCCTACTGGGTAAATCCATCCTACCATGCCAGCACCTTTTTCCTGAAAGGCCCTGCAACAGAGCTGCTACTCCACCAGACTGGGGGTGCACATCTGTAAGAGATCCTATGGCACACACCACAAGCAGCAAACAGGAATGCAGAGCAGGAGCTCTGAACACTGCAAATAACCAAGTACTCTATTTGTACCTTCTCTGCTCAATACACATACTATTTGAAGCTTTCCATATGTTGTAAAATATAAAAAGAAATGTGCATCATTCTACCTTCAAAAAGCTCCTGAGATCATCTGTGCTGTAGACATCAAAGACTTCCATAGCTCCAGAACTTGCTTTGCTCACTGTTGGAGTCAAGGGGCAGCTGCAAGAGAAAAAGAAAGGAAAAGTTTCATAAAAGAACAGAAAGGGAAAACTAGGAGGATTTCTGCTTCTGTATTTTCTTCTACGACCCAACTTCATCTAGTCTGCAAAAAATCTTGTTCTCTCAATGGATGCGCTTTCCTATGGGGAACAGGAAGGCCCAGATACAAACCCAGGAGACAGCCTGCAGCACTTTGTGTGCAGCTGAACAATTAAAACACAAAATGGGTTTTAAAAAAAAGGGCACCCAAGGAGGTTCCCTGCCAGCCTGGAACGCTGCATCCCACAGCCTCGACTGCCCAGCTCTGCCCAACCCCACATCTCGAGGTCAGTCTTAGAAAGCCCTCTAAAGCTGCTGTTCAGGAGCCTAGGCTTGAGACCTGTAGGGGGAAGAAAACACAAATCCTGAGCATCGCGGCAGCGAACAGCCGACCCCATACCTGTTCCTCCGGCTCGTCACCACTCTGTCCGCCCCCAAGAAATACGCAGAGCGCAGCAGTGCCCCCAGGTTCATGGGGTCCTGGATCTGCTCAAGCACCAGCCACAGCAGCTGCCGGTTCGGGCTCTCTCCATCCCCCAAACCGGGCTCTTCGGCCTCCTCCAGCCTCTTGAAGCGGAGCGGAGTGGCCTCCAAGCACACTCCCTGGTGGACGCGGCCCCCGCACAACGCATCCAGCTCCCTCCTCCCGACGTAGAGCACGGGAACCCCGCGCGCCGCGGCCTGCAGCACGAACTCGCTGCTGATCGCACGCTGAGGGCCGCCGTTCCGCTTGAGGAACAGCCTGAACAGATCCCTCCTGGCCCGGGACAGTGCCATGGAGCACGGCGCTACGCCGAACAGGATCTCGCTGCCCCTCGTCCTCTCGATGGACAGAGCCCTTCCGTCCGGCCTCCTCCCGCCCTTCGAGACCTCGCGTCTCGCTGAGCCCCAGCCTGAGTCCCGCAGACCTTCACAGGAGATGCGGGCTCGGTCCCCGCCTCGCGCCGCAGCCGTGCAGAACCGCCAGGGCTGCCGGACCCGCGCGGGGCCCTTCCCAAAGCAGCGGCTGCAGGTGGCGGACGGCAGCCCCACGGCCCCGCGGGCGAGAGACCTGAGCGCCTGCTCCATAGCTACCCGCACGGGGAAGAGACCCCCGGTACCACTCGGGGAAGGGGGGCAGGACGAGGGGACGCAGAAACACTCGATCGGACCGGGGCGCGGCCCGGCCGCACACGTGGGCGCGGCGCGGATTCCCTGTGGTGGCGCCGCGGTCACGCGCGGCCCCGCCCTCTCCTATAACCGCCGCGGGCACCGCGCCGCTTCCGGCCGGCCAGAGGGGCACTCAGCGCCACAGCGCCCCCTGGCGGTTGGCGGGGCGCAGCCTCACGGCCCGGATCTCCCTTAAAACCTTCATTGAATAGGAAAATGCCTCACGAGAGCTGGAAATAAGAGTTTTGAGGGCAAAACCCTGCTCTATTCTACCCGGACACAGTAATCACAACGTGCTGCCTCTGGCATTGTGGGCAGAGGTTCCAGAGTGCATGCGATGCTCCCCACGTTGTCTCACTTCAGCTCACCAAACACCCAAAACCAAAACGCTGCTCCAGTGGCGGAGCACTTCATATCCATCTTTTCCTTTCATAAGGGAGGAGATGGCAATTGTTCCACGACTATCTCTTCTAAAAGGAGTTTGCAGAGAGAAGGGTTTCCGTCTTCTACTGAAGCAGTCTTCTTCTGTTTATACAGATGGAGATTTCTTGAGTAAAATGATCTTATCCTGCTGCCTGCCAGAGCCAGCTGCATCCATGGTTCCTCCCACCCAAAATGAGAGCCGAGATCTGCCAGCAGTACTCACAGACTGCCACATAACATCTCCTAGAGGTACAGCAATGTTAACACAATTGATGACATTTATTACGTAGGAAAAACAAGGAAAGCACAAGATTAGAAAAAACAAACATGCTTTTAATTCCACAAATGCTCTCTACCTATTTACAAGGTATCCAAAACACCTGCCTCAAATCCAGCAAGGCAGCCAACTCAGCTATTCACTACTTATTTGCAAAAACATTGTGTTTTAATGACAGCAAACCTGAGCCTCTGCACTTGGACAACCTGAAAGAGGACCGGAAAGTAAAAATCCTTCATTTAACAACAGCAATAATGCACCCCACTTCAAACAAGTGTGGGAGATTGAAAGCGTTCAATATCCAAGTCTGCACAGCAGTACTGGCTCATCCCTTGCATAGTTTTAGCCAAACCCAGCAGCCTACCTGGGGATTTCAGCAAATCCCTGTGGAGCACGGCTTCATTTGAACAGGGAAGGGCGAGTCCAATCTCCACAGGTCATCCATGAGACAACTGGATGCTATTCTGCTCTAGAAAGCAATTGCATTTTTTTTTCCCCGTGAGGAACCAAATTCACATGTTTCTGTTTGAACTCTTCACAAAAGATAGGTTTAGCTGTGAACAGTAAAAAGGATGTTATGTTTAAACACGAACTACGATATGCAGAAGAACTACATTGCGCCTCTCTTTTTATCCTTTATTTCCTAGTTCACAAATTAGAAGCCTACTGATAAATTGCACAGGTCACTCTCCTGTCTGTTTCTGAACACCTAGGGTCACATTGCCAACCTCATCCCAGCCCAGGAAGAAGGCTCGAGGTGCCACCAGGTCACACGAGGCAGACAGGCCCAGCTCCCGGTGCCAAACTCCTCTGTGGGCTGCACTTCACATGGGAAAGCAGCCAGAGGCAGGAAGTCATCTGGCAGGAAAAATCATCCCCCAAAATCTCATTCGAAATGGAAAAACATAATAGATACCATTTCAAGGACGAGATGTTTTAAAGATGTGCAAATGTTACAAACACTCATGGAGAAAAAACACTTCCAGGGCTGCAGGTCAGCCAAGTTGCATCTGCAAGGAGTGACTATCCACACTGGCCCCTTTTCAAGGCCTTACATCTGCAGAGCAGAAAGATAAGCCAGGTCCTGTCTCAGCCATTCATTTCAACAGCTGCTGAATTTCACACACAGTTGCAGCCACCAGTTCAGCCATTTCAACAGTGCTTCTCACAGCCTTGCCTATTTTTTTTTCTGCTAATTTCTCAACTCTTTCTTTTTTGACCCTCAGCTTCTAGTTCAGTTCTTTTTAAAAAACGGTGCACGCTGCACCTGTTGACTTAAACTCTTGTGAAAGAAAACCTATGGAAAAAACTCACAGTTTTCATATTAAGTACAGCTGAACATCGCAGTTTGGGGTTGGACCTTCCTTAACAAAAGGCCTCTGGATTGTGCACCACAGCAGCATGGAGGCTGAAGAGCTTTTCCAGCTAGCACAGGCTTTTTCCACTGCACTGAGCATCGCTGGCTGTGTGCAGACCTGGACTGGCTGCTCCTTGCAGGACACAGTCTAACTTGGTGCTGCAGGTGAAAGTCAGCTCTGTAGCAAGAACCTACACAGAGCCACCGCCTCAGCTACGTGGAGGAGGGCAGTGCATCAGAGTAGTGCAAGACTTTGCCACAGGGCATGAATTTCACTCAGAGTAAATTGAAAGGCCAAATCCAGACACAAGGTTACATGTACTAACTAGCAGAAACCGGTGACAGATGAGGGACAGAACGCACCATGAGAGCGTATTTATAAAGATGAAAAGAACAGGGCCACACGGCCTTTGTTTTTACCATTACGAAGGAATGCTTTACCACTTTCCCCCTTACAGCCTTCCATGCTTGCTCACCTTTGGCACAAGGAATTCTATGCATCGTGAGATTTAATTAATAATAATACTTCATATCAACACTCAGCACTTACGCAGCGCCTCTCATATTCAAAGTGCTTTACAAAACAGCTTGCGAGTCCTCACAACACCCCTGTGAGGTAGGTTAAGTATTATTATCCCCATTTTACAGATGGGTCAACTGAGGCAGAGAGGTAAAGCGACTTGCCCAAGGTTATACAGGGAGTTGGAATTCATGACATAGTGGTCTGGTCCTGGTCTCCCTTGTGGTGCTGTCACACAGATGAACTCCCACAGAGCTGCACTGGCATAAGCAAAACAATCCAAACCAAGTTTCTCTGGCTCTCAGTCCTCTACTCAAATCAGCTGATCATACCAGCTCCACCTGCAACAAGGTGTTCACCTGCTGAAGTACTAGAGGAAATCCAAAGTACAGCAGGAGAGACTGCAGCCTTAAGGCAACATGCACGTTAACAGCGCCAAATCAAGTTGGGCTCAATGCAGATATGTTTCTGCCACACTGTAAGAGCAAATAAAACAACTCAAGTCATCTCCAGCTGTGCATGCACCAGCCAGGGGGCTAACTCCCCCCTCCCTCGAGTTAGAGGAAACCCAGAGCAAAACAGTGGGGCCACACCAGCATAGAAGCAGTAGATCCAAAGCAGACCTTTCACCTACTGCTTTGTAGCAAATGCCCCTATTAATATATTTTCATTTTGGACAGCTTCAGCATGGTTCATTTCACTCTCTCTCTCTCTCTCTCTTTCTCTCTGAGTTTGTATCTCTGCATATAAACAAAATTCCAATATTTCCAACTTAAGAGTGATCAGCACTTAAACAGCATCACACATCTTTCAAAGACCGATCAATACTTCCAAAAAGCATCAATGCATGCAAATATCAAACATACAGAAAACCAACAAGAGTGCTGGGTGATGATACCAAGGATAAAGGTGGTCACAAGACAGCACATTTAATTTTTATTAAAAATACTAAACAACTCACTCTTACTGTACCTATGCCACTTAGAAGATCATTCTAACCTGTAAAAAATACAGGTTCTTTTCCCAAAACTATTTACCTACTTACCTAGAAAGAAAGAAACAGCAAGCACACATGTTTATACCTCCTCAAACTTGGCAGGCACAATTCATATGAATGCAAAGGGAGAGTTTGGGGAGGCAGGGTGAGTTTGTACATTGGCTTTAGGGCAGTGGGATATGAGAGAAGAAAATATCACATCCATCGTTACCAAAAAAGTATCAAAATGATGAGAAGAAACGTGAAAAATAAATGGATGGCATCCACCAGAAATCTCAAACCCTAAGCACATGGAAGCTGGCAAACACCTTGTGCCACTTCACCTATGTCCAGACATCAAATAAGATCAAACCAACCTTGAAAAGAAAGCAAAAAGAAGAATAAGCCAGTCTGGAGACAATCTTCCACAAACCACTTCCCTGCATTATTTTCAAATACATTTTACTCTTACTCAGTTTCCAAAAGAGTAGGGGAGAAAGAGACTCACTACTATATATGTATTTTTTAAAACTGGCTCCATACCAGCACCAGCTGAGAGAGAGGGAGAGAAAAATAATTCTTCAAACATGATCCTTGGTACTTGAATAAAACGTTGCTAGCCAGCTGATGAAACCCACATTGCCAGAGGGTTCCAAGTGGAGTGGATACACGGTGCTGCTCACGGTCTTCTTCATTTGCTATGATATCTGTTCCGTGGGCCTCATCTGTATATCTCCAATCTAGAAGAGACCAGCACATGATTTTGCTGCAGCACTGACATATGTTAAACCTTGCACTGTGTACTCGCATGCTGTACTGTTACCGTGGTAAGCTGCACACAAAGGAAGTTCCTGCAACTAAAAATAAGGCTGTTTAGCTGAGATATTAAAAAGAAATAAAAGTGAATGTAACTTTTTTGCCTATAGCAGAAAGGAAAAAAGAGCAAAATGCACAGAAAAGAGTATGAGATGCCACTGAACTATAAAAGTTTATAATCAAGTCTTAAGCATGGTCCTGCTCAGATGATGAAACAGAGGCACTGCTTTTACCTCTCCACATTGGCCCCCAGGATGACCTTTCATGCTCTTAAGGCAAGAAGGCCAGCTTCATTAGAGACAGGACCCCTCAGCTGCTGTGCTTCTAGACTGATCTAACGTCAAAGATGGTTGCACCTTGCTCCAAAGGAGCAGAGATCATACTACAGGTTTGCTAAGCATCTCGTGATCAAAGTTTGCTTTTGCAACAGCAGCTTAGTCAACATCCTAAACTTTGACACCATTCTTCCCTCCTCCTGGTTCCCGCTCAAAGCTGGTCACTTATTTCTTGTTTCCCAGGAAAGAAGTCCCTCTGGCAGCAGAAGCACCTTGGCAGGATCCAGCCCAACACATTTGGCAACTGGCAGAACCTGAACCAGCTGTAAGACAGTCAGCAAATCTCAGATGGCACTGTCCAGAAGGGACAAGACGTGCCTGTATCCCTCCCACTCCCCCTGCTTTGCACAATCCTTCTCTGCAGTCAGAGCAATCCTGGATGGATAAGTGGGTGTGGGTGGCCTGAGCAGCGTGGTCCCAAAGCTGCTATAAGGGAACTGTAAACAAATGTGATCACTACTAATCCCCAGCTCCACTAAGCACACAGCTGACATGGCAGCTGCAATACTGATTAGCAAATATCAGGGCAGCAGTTACTTTTTCCTCCTTTAAATACCTACTTAAAGCAGAGTCCTTTAACTCAACCACAGCTTACCTGTACATGAGGTGGGGCACTGAGGACATATATGACAGCATTAGCCATATCTTCAGCTTTGAGACACTGGGAAGACAGAGAAAAGAATCTAAGACAAAGAACACTTTAGGAAAAACTAACTATAAAATCATTCCCTTCATAACCATCAATAAAAAGTTTCAAGTGTCACTGGGGCATATCAAAAAAGATGGAAACAAGAAGGAAAAAAGTAATCCATCAAAAAATTAATAAAGGAAGTGTCTGGTGCTGATCTGTTTGACGTGAATAATCTTTCTGCAAAATGCTTGGAGGTGTCTGCTAGAATTAAGATCCTCAAGTGCTGGGCAGAAAAACATATGGAGACAACGCCTCTCTAAAGAGCTGAGAAGACACATCTGTACGTGTGTGTCACATACATGTGACATGTGTCTGTACAATCAAAGAGCTGTGTGCTAAGATAAAGAGCAAACGAGCAGCTGCTCAGCAGAAAAGAGGGCACTCTGGGGATGGGTAGAAGAGCTGCAGTGGCTGACAGTGTGGCTAAGCAACTCGCCAAACTATCGGCACAGCAGCTCTGCCAGCTCAAGCATTGCCATCCTTACAAAAAAAAATTTCCAGAGGAGCAAGAAATCCTATGACAGCTGCTTGCAGTACAACACACACTTCTTGCCCATCCGTGTGTAGACATGTTTGCTTGTTGTATTTTCTCTGTAATAAAGAAGTCACAGCCTGCAAAATTTCAAAGCTGACTGATGATTTATTTACAGGTACATCAAAGTAAGAAAAAATATAGAGAATGAGAAACTAAACCTGAACGAGAATTTGCACAATGTTTAAAAATGAGTGCAATATCTGAGGTCTGAGTGCCAAGACTTGACTTGGAGGATGCTGACTATTCTGGAAAGCATTATGCATTCTGCAGAAATAGCTTCTTGTGCAACTCGCCAGGAGAAAGATTGTTAAACTACGATTCAAAGCCACTTCCCTCTGCTCCCATATCTCCATGTCCTACCCGAATGCTCTCATAGGTTGCAGCAGCTCTCTCAGGGTCATTATCATGAAGCTTAAAAGCAAATCCTGTTTCTACCAGTCCTGGAGATATACACTGGAAAAGAGCAGAGCACATCCTAATAGGATTTGTAATTCTCCTTCAGTAATAGAAAAAACAAACTGAAAACAACAAAAGCAAAAACTCCAGAACTCTGCCCCACAAAACTCAGCAGCCCACAAAGCCAGCAGAGAGGGAGAACCCTCCCAGTACTCACTGTAGCTCGTATATGAGTCTTTGCTTCTCTGAGTTCTTGCCTCAGCCCCTCTGTGAGTGCTGTGACTGCATACTTGGTGGCACTGTAAAAGTGCACCACAGACTGTGGCACAACGCTGTGACCATTCATGCTGAGGAGAGGGCAGAAAGGAGAGTACTGAGGAGGGGGATATGCAGCCTTGAGAAAGAACCAACAGCATATTCGGTCTTTGTTGTATTTAGACAAGCAGAGGTTAAAAAAAAAGTTTGGAAAAATCAGCCATCATGATCCTCATACCGCTGAGCCCACCTAGAAAGGTGAAAGCTCCTCTGCTCTAATCCCACATGGCAGATCCTGCATTCCCACCCTGTGTACCTGTTAATGTTAATAATATGACCGTCATCGATGTTTCTCTCCTTCATGGACTGATAGGCCTCCCGGGTGCAGATGCTGACAGCCATCACGTTGACCTGAGGGACAAGAGAAGTGGAGACTAAGAGCAGCAGCCCAGGCCCTGCGAGCCTCCCACCACAACCTCCTCACAGCAACGATCAGCCTGCAGCAAAGCTGCACCAATGGAGCCCTGTCCTGCACAGCTCATATGTGAGCGCAGTCGCATCCACAAGTCCCAGCGCATGGCATTTCCTATTAACACCAACAGAAGAGGGAAATGCACCCGCACAGACCTCACTGCACACACAGCCCCACAGCCCACGTTACATTGCAACTGTGCTCAGGGCTGCAATAATAAAGGGTTTGGGCAGGAGAGGCACAGAGGTCCTGTTTTGCGAGACAGACCTTGGCCTCTGCCAAAAACAAATAGACTTTATAGTTTTGTGGGCAAGTGTGAGGGCTGCGTGCAAGGTAAGAAAGCCCCAAACACCCCACAGTCAGCAGTCCTTCCAGGAGACAAAATTATCCCATACAGCACTGAGCACACCGGGGTTTGGAGAGCCGATAGGACGCTAGCAGTGGGTAATTAGGTCAGCCAGTTAAAGTGGAAATCCCCAGATAGCGCCTTGTCAGGGAGCCAGGCACTGCTAGGCACTGCAAACCACATGGCCAAAGAGCTTCCCATGCACAAATGAAGCCAAGGATCATCGTGTGGTTCTGAGGAGGGCCCAAGGGGGCAAGGAACTCTTGAGATGTGAAAGCCGCTGATCTGCCATGCTGCTTGCTGATATCCTCCTCCACTGGGTAAACCAAAGAAAGAAGGAAAAGGTGATGTATCCTTTAGTACACAACCCACAGCTTTCCAAGTACTTGCTCTTTGAACCATCGCTGCCCAGCACGCTGTGGTTTCAGTTATACTAAAGTCACATCACTCCTGCAAGGTGCCACCTTTAGAGCACAGATTGACAATTTGCTGGCCATAAAACACACACTCAGAGTTTCCAGGAAAGTAGAGACATGGAAATTCCCCCACCTGTAATACAAGAGCACCAAGCACCCACAGGTATGTGTGAGACCAATGAGAAGCCTGTCAGCAGCAGTGCTAACTGCTCAAGTTTATAGTGCTTTATGTTCAAAACAGTGGCCAAAAGGTGGAAACTATTTGCTGAAGCCCTTTAGAAAGGATGAAACCATTTCAGTGCAGGGCATGCTAGCAGGCCCTACCTAATGGCATGTCACTTTTTAACCAAGCAAGCAGGCCAGGCAAGTTCAAAAGCACTACTGTGAACTAAATATCCAGGAAGAAGTAAATTTCAGATGAATCAGAAGTCAGGTGTAACTATAAATGGGAGAAGCAGGAGGAACAAGGTCATGCGGACAGCAAGTGACTGTCTGTCATCTCCATACAACTTAGAAACAAGAACTAGGGAGAGCTAGCTAGAGGTTGGCAACACAAAAGGACAAAAATGCAGCGACAGGAGAAGAACGTTACTTGGGACACTAGAAAGCAAAAGGCAAAAAGAGACAGATTTCAGAGTTGTGATTACTGAGCAGCACACTGGACGGATGACTGGGGGACAGCTGATGGATCTTCAGCCATTGCTTTTGTCTTGGTCATTATTTCCTGTTCATTAACAGAGAATATGCTTATGGGTTTTGGTCTTTGCACAGATTAATAGTATTCTTATCTGATCCCACGTTAGCATGGAGTACCCAGGCAACACAATAAGTGAAGTAACCATCCTAATCCAAGTGCACTTTGATTGAGCACACAGTCACTGCCAGATATCTCAGCCATTGTACCTGGAACCATAGTGATAATTCCCCAGCACCAGGTTGAAGATTTACCTTAGCTGTGCAAGGAAGAAACAGAATCACAACTCTGCAGACATGTCAGCAGAAGCAGCACCTCAGCACTGAAGCAAAGCCCAGAACAAGCAGGGCACTTGAAATCTTGTGGATTTCACAGTGAAAGTCAAGGAGAATGGGAGTAAGCTGCTCCAGTCTCACACATCAGCAGAGTGAAGAGCCAACTTTGAGCATAATAAAATAAATGTAATTTTAACCCAAACTCCCTCCTCTTTCTTTTCCTCTCTGCCTCAAGAAGCACCGAGCCTCAGTGCAGTGCATCGCTGCTGCAGTCGCTGCCAGTCCACTCCATCTCCACGGGCCACTAGAGGGTAACATCAGCCTGCCAGCAGGACGGAGCCAGGCTGCAGCACAGTGACTCACACCCAGCGATGCTTCCTTGCGTGGGCAGTTACAACATTTTGACAACTACTGGCAAAGCAAGATACTAATCAACAGCCACATGGGAAAGGCCAGAGCCCACACTGCAGGGACGCAAAACAACCAGCTGGAAGGCAGCTCTTCTGAAAGCACCCACAGGATTTCGGGATCCCTATCCCACTTCAAAACATAGAGCAGGCACTCAGGAACCTAAAAATATGCCTGGAAAAGGAGCAGGTTCTAATGGCTACATCAATTCTAGAAACAATAGAAAGGCTGTTTGTTGCAAATACCTGCACAAGACATTTTTCAGCACGTTTCTGTTTTAAGAACAATAAGTTCAAAGGTCTCTTGGAAAAGATGGTCAATACATCTGCACTCTGAGTTCATGCAGCAGGTCTGCAACCACAGCATGTGTTTGCTAATGCAACAGAAACAATAAGGGCACACTGTAGTAATTAATGAGTTCCCATTGTCAGCCTGGGAGAACATAAAGGATTCAGTTTCTGGAGGCGCTGAGCACTTTGCTTCCCAGAATCAGTGTTTTTTAAGATATCAAACTGAGCATCCCAGCTCCTAAGCACACACACAAACGCAGGTTACAGAACACACATCCATGCACAGATGGTTTATAAAAGCAACAAGAACAGAGCCTCACTGGCCAGTGAATAATGCCAAGAATCAAACCCATTCAGTGCCTACAGCAGTGGGAGGATGTGTGCTGCAGTCCTTTGTGCTTGGAACAGTGCAAGTGGAAAGTTCAGCTTGAATTCCTGGCTCTAAAGGTCAGTAGGCAAAACGTGAAGGAGCTGCTCAGATCTCAGAGCCCCAAGTCAGTGTGTACACAGCACCGGATCGGGGACAGCCGGAGGACTTTGCTCCAGCCTGACATAAAGCACAGGATCACAAACAAGTGGAGAGAAAAGAGGGGGAAGCTGTAAATCGAAAGATGAAGGGCTCAGAACCATGTCTGAGATAAAATGCTCCCTTCTCTTGCACACAATGAATCTGCTATCTGACAGCTCAGCTGCTCAGCAGCGGTGGGAACGTGATTTTCCTAACTTGAAGCTCCTGCAGACCAAAAAGAATAAACTCTTGGAGATTATTCCCTTTAGAACAAATACCAGACAATAAGGAACTGGAACATTAAAGAAGAGGAATAAGTAAATAAGAACACGACTTCAACTGCTAAATGTATACTGAGAGAGGAGCCTGGAAAAGAGACAGCCAGCCTCAAAGCTCATAAAAAATGCATGGAAAGAAAAATCAATTTAACAAAAAGAAAAAAAATGCCTTTAATTTAAGGCCCTAATGCCTCCCAAATCAATACGTTGATGGCTGTTTAGAAACTTTCCCCATCTTGCAGCCCAGCAGCACACAGAAGCTCTCCATCCACATTTCTAAGCACGCTGCTCGCTAACGCCTTTCTCCAGAAACCACCTTTGGAAGAAGCCTCCCTGCTCCTGGTCAGCAGCCCGTGAAAGGTGCTGGCAGCTTTCCCCCATTCTGACCCTGAAAGCTGCAGAAATGGATGTGGTGAGCGCTCCCCTGGGCTGGCGTGTTGCAGCAGGGAGAGTTGTTGGTGCAAATCCATCTTCCCCTGACTCTGCTGCCACCCCAGGGGCCAGTACATGGAGCTTAGGTGTCTGAGCCTATTCCCCTAGCTAAAACAGCAAGAGCAATTTTGTCAAGCAAGTGAGTGCAGACAAAACAGTGCAGATCACCTCTGGGAATAGAACATACCCCCAGCCTAGATTCCTAACCTGCTCCAGGGATCTGAAATCTTGCCTCTCTCCTGCCACACCACCTATCATCACAAAGCAGTTCCAAAGGGCACACACAGCAGTGCCCACAAGGAGGAGGACCCCACAGGTTCCCAAATCTCACTTCTGGCCACCACAAATAACAGCACGGAGAGTATCCTACAGGGCAATCCCCTTCCAAATCCTTGCTCCTGAAAATTAGTGGAAGATGAGAGCAAAGGAGTGCTCCCACCTGAGCTCCGGGAATGGAGCACAGAGAGAAGGCAGCAGGCAAATGCCTCATCCCTGCACCAGCCTGCCCACTTCAGAAAGAACAAAAGGTCAGAGGAACAAAGGAAAGGGAGCATGAGTGACACAAAGCAACACACTGAAGCTTCCAGACAAGACAGAATGACAGCAACCAGGACAAGGTGCAGGCGACCCACAGGGCCAGGCTCGCAGCAAAACAACGCTGGGAAGTGCCCTGCTTTATTCCAACTCAGCCTTAGCTACACTTCACTTAATTTTCTTTAAAGATTCCATGGCAACTGGGAGCAGGGAGATGCGTCGGTGCAGTGACCCGGGCTGGGCAACCCACAAAAGCCTGGCTGGGCAGACAAAGCCAAGCAGAGCCTGCTTTGGCTGCAGTAGCAGCAGTGAGCAGAGCAGCCAACATCCTAACAAGAACTTAATTAGACACAATACAGCAGCTCTCACCCTGGCAGCAGGAGTCTGAGGCCTCTGTGTGCCTGTTCTGCTTTACACAGCCCCTGGAACTGCTAGGGATGGAAGGCCACCAGCTGCCATGGGGCAGACAGATCCAGGCTGGCTCTGCTGTCAGACACAGGGGCCCCAAGCCTGCAACTTCTAACAACTTTTCAAACAGACATCTTTTTCCTTCACTACAACAGAGCTGCTGCTGCTGCAGAGACTGTGGTTTACTGAAAGACTCAAGTACAAATCCTGTTCCCCATGAAGATGATGCTTTCACATACAAAAATACGGAGCATACAAGGGGAAACCTACCTAAAGCAGCTGCAAGGCAGCAGCACGCAAACATGCACATGTCCCACAGCTGTGCATGCCAGGTGTGTGCAGAGCAGGGCTGCCACACAGTGACAAGTCCCAAAAGAATGCAGGGAGCACCTCAGGGCAGCAACGCCCTGAGAGAAGTGCTGCCTGTGAATGGCACGAACAATTCGCACTGCTTCTCTGTTTGGCAGATGAAATGGGTTTGCTGGTATTGAGCTTTAACCAGATTACAGGCAGAAAATGAAGCTTCAAAGACAAAAGCATTACAGCTTTTTAAGCCAAAAAGAATCTGCCTGTTTTAAAACCCATTGCTAAAACTAACAGGATTAGCTACAAAAGCCAGTGTTGGTATTCAATTTCCTATTCTGAGGGGAAAAAAAAGCCAGGCTCATCACTCTGTAGAAAGACACTGATCTAAAGGAAAAACACTACTGAAGGTATTGAATATTTTCATGCTCCAGGGTGAAGGCGAGTGGCTCAGCAGTACATGATGCCTTTCCACTTCCTGCCTAGCCAGCACAAAGCCATGGCAGGGCCAGAGGGGGAGTGGTCCTCAGCTCCATGCACAAAACAGATGGGCACAACGGTGCTGGTGAATGAAAGAAAATAATCTATGCAATCTAGACAGGCTGAGCATAGTTTAAATAAGTGGAAAGTCAATGCGATCCCATTAAAAAATAAAAAATAGAAATGTGACAAAATATTTTCTGGTCCCTTCATCTACTTCCCACATACGGCTGTGTTTGGGAATCCCAGGCCACTGCTCACACACAGCTCCTGCTCTCCCACAGCACTACTCACGTCTATCATCGTCCGCCAGCCCTCTGTCTTCCCTGAGAGCAGAGGCTCCGGGCGCGCCAGCCCCGCGTTGTTGATGCACACATCAACTCCCTGGTGAAGGGTCTTGATGGCAGAGAACATGGACAGGATCTCCTCTTCGTTGGAGAGATCACACTTGTATGGGATGAGGGTCCCAGGGTAGCCGGCACTCTGGCATTCAGCTGCCAATTTCTGAGGAAGAGAGAAAGGAAGAAAACATCCATCAGCCTTCTCTGTTTGGGGATAGGCCCAGGAGAGCAGAGCTGCTTGGAAGCAGAGCAGAGGTGACTGCTGCTTGGAAGTAGCACTGTGATTATGTACTTGCATGAGAGCAGAACCAAAGAACTGCAAATCAAGGCACAATGCGTGCAGCACATCCAAGCACACCACAAGCCTCACAGTGCAGTGGGAACAACAGGGGCTACAGTTTATTCCTGGAAGCTCTGATGGCTGCAAGCTCAGCCTGATGCAGCCTCCTCCGTGGCCTGTGATGCTGCAGGAGGTATGCGGTGGCCTCAGCAACAGAGCTCAGTCTATTACAAATGAATGTTTGTAGACTGTAGCTTTGCATTGGCTTTAATGTATTAACCTACTTCTCTCAAAGAAGGAACACTCTCGTGCTGCCCACCGTGCTAAGCCATACAGCTGGAGGGGAGCAGGTGCTGGCAGACCACCAGTAAATGCTGCTGTGGGACCGGGCTGATGTGCTGCAGGGCTGTCACACCGCCGAGGGGATGAAGGACACAGCAACCACATGCCTCGCAATTCCTCATCAGCCATTACCGACAGTCATCCCAAGCCTCCAGATCTCAGATATAAAGCAAACGAAAGGCCGAGCGCCGCTGACAGCCCCATGCTAACGACACAGCCAAACCTCCCCACGATGCCCCTTTCCCCTGACGCTAACGAGAAGCAGCATCTCAGCTCTGATGTGTCACAGCGGAGACGGTGACAGCTTCCAGCACGGCGGGGCCACGTGATGTCTGGGATCCACAGAGATGGACTCCAGCTACAAACGTCCACCGCATCACTCAAACTGCACCGCCTGCAGCACTGTCCCCAATGTGACATCTCAGCGGGTGCAATGCAGCTCTGCTGCTGGAGGCGGCTGTGCGGCTCCCCCCTGCCTGCCGAGGTGCCTGCAACCACCGGAGCGAGGCTCGGCCCAGGCCTGTGTGCTGCAAGGTGCAGGGCCAGAGCGATACCCAGATCCCAAAAGAAACATCAGACAAAGGGAATAATAACATGGAACGTGAGGGAAACTGGAAGGGGAGAAAAATCAGATTGGGCATCGGCTCACTCTGAGGCAGGATGGCAAGTTGGTCACCGTGTCCAAAAAGGGGGGAAAATCCATCTGCAGCTTGTGAGCTGACTCCCAGCATTGAGCCCCGAAATGTTCTCTTGACCCCAGACCTTCCAGAGGCTCTTTTTGGTGATCAGCTCCTCACAGCAAAGTTTTACCCACGCCACCCTCCCTCTCAGCACACAGAACACATTGCCTCAGAGCAATAAAGGCACAAAGAGCTCTGCTTGGTAAATGATTTTCAACCTTTCTCAATCCCTAAGACCGAGGCACAGGTGATGCAAGCTCCTGACTGCAAGTTTAAGCCCCCTCTGGTTTGCCATGCTCGGCGTTCAGCAGCAGATTGCAGGTCTCCACAGATCTCAGGCCACAAGCTGAAACCATCCTAAGCCTAAAGATCTGCTCCTGCAGCCACTGCCCTTCTGGTACAGCTCAGCGGAGGCACTGCAGCAGCGCAGGAATTATTATTGCTGTCACAGCATCAAGCCAGGAGAGGACAGGCACAACGAGTTCCGCCGGAGATCGATGCATCCCAACAGCATCTTGCTCTCAGGAGAGCCCCACTGCGGCTGAGCTCAGCAATATTTCTGCCCAACGGAGAACAAAGGTGCCCCCAGCACTGAACCAACCCCGCACCCTCTCAGGGCTGGTTTCACCTTGCCGTATGTGCAATCTTGTTGGCTATGTGCTGGTCATGTCTGAAAAACATATGTATTTTTAAAGATCAAAGTGCACCCTTTAGAAAACAGTTTGGGAAAAATCTGCAAGAGTGACATTTAGGAAATTATAAGCAGAATGAGGGGCTGCTGGAGGATGCTGGAAGTACAGCAGGGATAAGGCCTTGCTCCTGCAAACTTAAAGATGGGAAAAACTGGGCAAGGCTGCCCTCCCTCTCATCCTTCATAACCTTCAGGTGAGACAGAGAGCAGCCAAACGCAGCCCTGCTGCACCCACCCCTCCCCCTAAGTCACAGCAATGACTTTAAAAGATAAATACAAGCACGGGGAATCCAAGTGAACCCCCCGGGAGAGGACTTGTGCCAGGGGAGCTGGCTGGAAGGAGACAGAGCCCAGGGACGCAGCCGGGGAAGGCCAGACAAGCTCATCTGCGGCCCAGAGGGAGCTGCCATGTTCAATATCTCAGTTTCCATGTTCTGCTGTCACTTTCTGCTACTCGGTGCAGCTCTCAGAACAACTCCTGGACGGAGGCAGGAGGGGCCCATACACCACATGCCATAGCACAAAGGCATGCAAAGGAGCTGCTAGCCGTCCTGCACACCTCTCCTCAGCTAAGGGCTCAGATACACCACCAGAAAGCTCTGCCTCACCTGCAGCGAGGCTCCCCTGCCACCACCAACCACAGAAAGCTGCCCACAAACAGCTCCCCAGATCCTGCTTTTCCTGCCTGGTTTCTCACCGCCTCAAATGGGAATCAGCACGGATCCTTTCATCTCTCAGGCTGCACTCATGCTAACAAATTCCCTTTGAAAACGAAGCGCTGAGCAGCGCTGACACCAGGCTGAGCTGAACGTGCAGCACACGTCTCCAGATAAAGCCATCACAGGCTCTTCAAAGGAACATCAACCACGGCTCGGTTCGTCGACACACGTAAAGGCAGTCTCTTAATTAGGAAGCCTGCAGATTTATTTTTTTTCCAGAGCAATAGTTAAGTCCCTCAATGAATGCTCATTCCACTTAAAGAAAAGCCACATGTGCAAAGAAGAAATAAAAGCTGCTTTCCTAGATTTCAGAAGCAACTTGAAAGCGAGTGTGTATCACAGCACCAACCCAGCCCAGAGCCAGCACCTCCATCAGCTCTGCACCGCGCCACTTCCACCTGCTTGGCGATGGGTCTGCTGGCACTGCTCAGCCCAAAACCAGACAACAAAGGAATAATAATTACAGCCTAGGTTACAACGTTTAACTGAGAGTCACTCATCACACTGATGCAAGCCCCCTAATTCTGGTGCGCATGCAGCTCCAGGCTGTGTTTGTGGAGTTTCAAGCTAGCTGGGGAAGATCAGCTCTCTGCTCTGGGCATCTAAATTGCTGGTGAGAAACAGTGAGCCAAAATGGCAGCATGCACACGAGATGCACAGGCCACAGTGCACCTCCTGCTCACAGCCCAATTTCTCCATCTCACCGTGATTTATCTCAATCCTCAGCAACGCTGAACGAAGGAATGAGCAAATGAAAAAGGCACCCAACACCTACACACAGGTGGGACAGAAAAGAATCCCTGGTCGTGATGTTTACCATGCATTATTTAGCTGTCTACTAAAAGGCTGAAGGGACACCTCACACCTAATGGATGATTTCCAAACATCAGGGCTCGGTTTGTTCTTCCAAGAGTGAACACTCTTTGTGCACAAGACATTTACAGAGGGCACAGCACCATGCATTTACATTCAGTCCTGGTGACATGGTTCTACAAAACTAATTGATATAAACATTTCAGGGGACTCTTAAGGGGAGGCAAAAAAGAAAAGCGTCACGTCAGGCTTTATTTGGCAAACCATCCTATTAACTTCAGACACATTTAGTTCAGAGAGATTAAAACCAGCAGAAACCATTAGGTAATTTTTAATCTGACCTGCCATTCATCACAGGTACTTGCATCCTACTGATTTAGGCTATCCTTAAACATGGAGCTGTACCAAGAAACCAAGTGGAAAGAAACTGAAGTCACCCCAATTACATTTGCTATCTAAAGGAAATGAAGGAGAAAAAAACCTAATGAACAGCACCACAGATGTAAAAGAAAACCGGGGGCTTAAAAATCCTTTCACTTTACTGATTGGCAAGTTTGAAGCTTCTTTTAATTAAGTTTTAATACCAGTGCAACAGCGTATAGCGCATAAAGCTGGGGTTTATTCCAGCCATTTCCATGGCGAGTTCAGTGACCAAAGGCAAGACTCAGAGCTCAGATTCCTTTTCTGCAAAGGGAGATAATCGCACTGAGCCCCTCCCAAGAGCAGCCGGGGACCTGGGGCTTTTTGCCTGTATATCATCAGTACCTCAGATTTCTTCCAGCTCTCTTCGTATGGAGTCAGGTCCCCAGACAGGGCAGCCACAGGAGTCTCAAAGGACTGTGTAAATGAATAAAACGGTGAAGTGATTCTCCTTACCTCTCCTGAGCTTTAGACCAATGCTTTTTACTTATTGTTTGCAAATTGCTGCTCCTTGGCTCAGATCCTCTTCTGTTCCAAAACAAGGCAGAATAGTAGGAATAAGAAAGCATGGAAAATAGGGTTCAAATGGAAAAGCAAACATGCAGTGCTCAGCTGGGGGCACCAGCAGGAAAGCCTACGAAGGAGGAAGCATTAGCACTGATTTCAGACTGTTTGCCTGAAGTGCATCTGAAGCACAGACTGTTTAACCAGGGAGGCTGAATTATTTTTATGCTGCTCCAGAAACTCTCAGCACTGTCAAAGGAAAGAAAAAGCTCAAAACCTGGAGAAAATTGAGGTCCCTCTATTTTTTTTTTTATCCTTCAGCACTCTAAATGTACTTATTTTACAGACCTTGCAAAGACACAAAGGTGGCACACAAAATCAGCACGTTCCAAGCACCAAGTGACACCTCGGCATCTCATGCTGGATGCCACCCAGGCTCTGCAGCTGGACCCTGTAGCAACACCTACCTTTGGACCACACAACAAACCCGTCCCATGGACACTGACTCCTGTCCACAGCTGGGATGTGGCCCAGGAGCCATTCAGCTGGCTTCAGCTCAGGAATATCAGCCAGGCTCCCGGGTAAAGAAGCGTCTGGTTGTGCAGTCATGTCCTCCTCATGCTATTAGCAGTCCCCAGAGGGCCGAGGAGATGTGCTGCTCTTTCTGAGCCCTCTCTGCTCCCTGTACTTTTCAGCAGTTCAGCATTCAAGACA